GGTACCCGCGCCTCGTGCCTTGGACACCCCTGATCCTCCAGATTTCGGCCCCCTTTGCCCTCCGCACCCCTCTAGTCGCTCATTTCTGGCATTCCTTCTCCTCCCCCACCCTCAGACACGCGGGCCACCAACCTGGAATCCCAGATCCCGCGTTGAGGGATCCCCCGCTCCCTGTCCTGGTGAGGGTGGCCTTTATATCCCCGTAAGTCAAGTCTGTACATTCAGGCGCATCCAGACAGCCCGAGACACTCCTTGTGCCTTTGGGCAAGTCAGTTTCTCTGGGCCTCAGTGTCCTGTCTGCAAAATGGGCGTAACAGTACCTATCTCATAAGATCTAGTAAAAATTAACTGAGATAATGCAGGCAAAGGGTTTAGCACAGATTGTGTTAAATAAAACCTAGCTGCTATTTTACTACCTTTGTATGTCCCAGAATGGCCTCTAACCCCTAGGCACTGTCTCACTTCATCGCTAAAAGCTCTGGAAATCAGTAACTCCTGTTTCAACAGCCACTCAACCCTCTGTCCCCAAATGGGTGCTTCCTGCCTGTTTGATAAGAGCCCATCTGCCTGCTACAGTAATAGCAGCAGTCCTAATCCAGCCAGGTTCCCTGGTGAGTCTTCATAGGGCTTTAATGAGCTTGTGCTTGGCTTTGAGAATATAAAACTCTAACGTGGCTGTCTAGAGAAATGCCACTTGGGCAGACAGCTTATGAACCCTGTCATGGGTGGATTCATAGACCTGGAGCCTAGAACTCCTCTGGTGGCAGAATCTCCTGCCTTTCCAATGAGACCCAAACAGGGAGAGTGACTTGCCCAAGGCCCCATAGCAAACTGTCCTCTCCATCCCTGTCCACTCACCTCCTTTCACTACATCAACCCAGCTACCATCAGCCATGCACCTGTTACTCAGTCAGAGGATTTTTTTTTAATTCTTTATTGATTTCAGAGAGGAAGGGAGAGGGGAGAGAGAGAAACATCAATGATGAGAGAGAATCATTGATCGGCTGCCTCTTGCACGCCCTCTACTAGGGATCGAGCCCACAAACCAGGCATGTGCCCTTGGCCGGAATCGAACCTGGGACCCTTCGGTCGGCAGGCCGACCCTCTATCCACTGAGCCAAGCCGGCTAGGGCGTCAGAGGATATTTCAAAGTCCTCCAAGTATGGGGAGTTGCCAGGTACACGTTATTAGTAAGGCCAATCTTTTAGTGCAGTGGTTGGCAAACTGCGGCTCACGAGCCATATGCGGCTCTTTGGCCCTTGAGTGTGGCTCTTCCACAAAATACCGACTTCTGCGCATGGGCCATGAAGTTTCAATCGCACTGTACGTGCGCGCCCGCACGTGGTATTTTGTGGAAGAGCCACACTCAAGGGGCCAAAGAGCCGCATGTGGCTCGCGAGCCGCAGTTTGCTGACCACTGTCCTAGACCATTGCTAGCAAGACACACGCCCTACAGAAAATCTGTCAGAGCAAACTGTTAAAAAAGCAGCCTACTGTGATGCTCTCCTTCACCCTCCCGTTCTTTCCTTTTTCCCTTCTATAGAGCGAAAAGCAATCACACACCTGAATTCTCTTCTTTTACTTGGTGCTACCACATTTTCAGTCATTTTTCTCCCCCAAACTGCAGGAGCTGGCTTTGTTTTTTCATCTGCCCTAAAAACTTACTACAGCTGTGAGTATGCAATTTTTTTATGGGGAGGACAGTAAAAATATGTTTTTACTGAATTCTGGGAGAGGAAGGGAGAGGGAGAGAGAGAGAAACATCAATGATGAGAATCATCGAACACTGCCTCCTGCACGCCCCCTCCTGGGGACCAAGCCCACAACCCGGGCTTTTGACTTCCTGCTTCATGGATTGATGCTCAACCACTGAACCACACCGGCCTGGCTATAACTCTTTTGTTTTAATCCTGAAAAACCACAGAGATTGAGTTTCCAACCCAACACTTCCAAGGATGGAAGAAAAGTAAACTGGCCAAATGATGGTCTCAATAGACGCAGAAAAAAACATCTGACAAAAATCCAACACCTTTCGTGATAAAAAAACAAACAAAAAAACAATAAATCAGGAAACTTTTTTAAAAATGTATTTGTATTGATTTCAGGGAGGAAGGGAGAGAGAGAGAGAGATCAAAAAATCAAGGATGAGAGAGAATCATTGATCAGCTGCCTCTTGCACGTCCCCTATTGGTGATTGAGCCTGCAACCCAGGCATTTGCCCTGACTGTGAAAATACTGATGGGTATTTGTCATTATGTATTTGTCCAAACCCATAGAGTATATAATACCAAAAATGAACCCTAATGTAAACTACAGACTTTGGGTGATAGTGATGTGTCAATATCAATGTAGGCTTATCAGTTGTAACAAATGTACCTCTCTGGTGGGGATGTTTATATTGGGGAGGGCTGTGTACTTGTGGGGCCAGGAGATATGGGAAATTTCTGTACCTTCTTCTTAAGATTTCTGTGAACCTAAAACCGCTTTTTAAAATTGTCTTGCCCGTCTGGTGTGGCTCAGTGTTTGAGTGTTGACCTATGAACCAGGAGGTCGCGGTTGGATTCCTGGTCAGGACACATGCCCGGGTTTCGGGCTTGATCCCCAATAGGGGATGGGCAGGAGGCAGCTGATCAATGATTCTCTCTCTTCATTGGTGTTTCTATCTCTGTCCCTCCCCCTTCCTCTCTAAAATCAATAAAAATATATATTTTTTAAAACAAATATAAACAAAAATTTAAAAATTGTCTCTTTTTTTTTTTTAAAGAAAATAGTTCTGGAGATGAATGGTGTTGATAGTTGCACAACATTGTGAATGTACTTAATGCCAGTGAGATGTACACTTAAAAAAGGTTAAAATAGTAAATTTTACGTTATGTATGTTTTTACCACAAAACAATAAAATTAAGTTAAATTAAAAATGGGCAAAGGACTTGAATAGACATTTCTGCAAAGGAGATGTACCAATGGCCAACAAGCACATGAAAAAATGCTCAATATCGTTAGTCATCAGGAAAATGCAAATGAAACCCACAATGAGATACCGCCCATTGCCCCTGTAGCGGTCATAAAATGTTTTCAATGGAAATAAGTGTTGGGAAGGATGTGAAGAAATTGAAACCCTCATATGTTGCTGGTAGGAATATAAAATGGTGCAATTATGCCCTAGCTGGTTTAGCTCAGTGGATAAAGTTTGGACTACGGACTGAAGGGTCCCGGGTTCAATTCTGGTCAAGGGCACATGCCTGGGTTGTGGGCTCAATCCCCAGTAGGGGGCGTGCAGGAGGCCGCCAATCAATGATTCTCTCTCATTGATGTTTCTATCTCTCCCTCTCCCTTTCTCTCTGAAATCAATAAAAATATATATTTTTTTAAATAATAAAAATAAAATGGTGCAGTTACTCCTTCATCCGTAGGTATTCAAACAAAAATTAATACAGGAATATACACAGCAGCATTACTCACAATAATCAAAAGGTGGGAAAAAAACAAATATCTATCAACTGATTAATGGATGAACAGAAGGTGGAATACCCATATAATGGAATATTATTTGGTCATAAGAGGAAGGAAGTCCTGATACATGTCACAATGTGGATAAAACTTGAAAACAATGTGCTAAGTGAAAGAAGCCAGTCACAAAAGGTCACATGTCATATGATTCCATCTACATGAAATTCTAAGAATAGGCAGCTCCTTAGAGACAGAAAGCTGATCAGTGGTCTCCAGGGGCTGGAAGGAGCAGGGAGTAGCTGCTAATGGCTATGGGGTTTCTTTCTGGGATGCTAAACGCGTTCTGGGAAGTTGACACAGAGGCATGTACTGTTGGTATGCACTATATTTGAAACGTACTAAATGCCACTGAATTGTAGAGTTTAAAATGTTAAACTGTATGTTATGTGAATGTTACCTCAATTTTAATAAAAGTAAACCAGGCATCTCATGTATGCCCTGTTTGGACACAGAAGGAGGGGGGTGGGGGGAGGACACACAGTGTTACATGAACTCTGACTGTTTTCTCCTCCCACTGAAGACTTCACAGCTGTGCTCAAACCCGCAAGGGCCCAGAACAAGATCTGGGAAGCAGACACACACGCCAATACCGTGGAACCACAGGGACTGGACAGAAAGGGATAGACTTCCTCTGGGTGAGAGTTCCTCATTCTACTTTAAAAATGACAGCCGCCTGAGGAGAAGGCAGGTTGCCTAAAAAAAATACAGCATATGATACATTTTGTTTAAAAGAAAAATACACACACACACCTGGAAAGAAGTCTTCATACTTTTTCAAGGATACAGCACACTATAAAAAGTTGTCTCTGAGTGATAAAAATTAGGATTTTTTTTCTCCTTTTGCTACTCTCCATTATCTAACATTTCAAGAATAAATACAAATTGCTTTAAAAAAAAAAAACCTAATTTTCAAAAAAGGAATTTGGTTTCCAGAAATAGCCTCCACTGACTGGTCTGTGTTATTCATAATAATGAATTCTGGTAACTAATGTTTCCATAACACCTCTTCCATTTCCAAAACACATTTCCCGCGCACATCACACAATTCATTCTCGCAAAAGCAGACATTCTGACTGCCGAGTTATGCAGATGGGGATACTGAGGCCAGGGGGAGGAGAGACTTGCCCAAGGTAGCACCCAGACCCGGTGCCTGATCCTAGCTCTCTGTCCTTGCTGGGGCTGGGGCTCTGGACGCTCAGGGGCCGAGAGAGGCCTTGGTAGAATTGCCAGATATAGCAAATAAAAACACAAGATGCCTGCCCGGCCAGTGTGGCTCAGTGGTTCAGTGTTGACCTGTGAACCAGGAAGTCACAGTTTGATTTCCACTCTGTATTTGCCCAGGTTGCGGCTCAATCCCCAGTGGGGGGCATTGATGTGTCTCTCTCTCTCTCCCTCTCCCTTCCTCTCTGAAATCAATAAAAATATATATGTTTTAATAACCACAAAAAAACCCACAAGATGTCCAGTTAAATTTGAATTTCAGATAAATAGCAAGTGATTGTTTAGTATAAGTATGTCCCAAATGTCGCAGACCTGTAATACATGCCCAGTCTTTCACAGGACATACTGAAACTAAAAACACACAAACAAAAAACCCACACCACTCATTGCCTAAGACTTCTATGTAACTGAGTATTCTCTATTCTGTCTGGCAATGTCAGCTGCCTGTCTGCTTCTGGCCAGGGCAGGAGTTCCAAGTCAGTCCCTGGTCTCTGTGGGCGACTGCACCTGCAGCCAGTGCCCAGGTGGAGGCCCAGATAAGCTTCCTGGGGCCCAGAATCACCTGGTCAGGCCCCAGGTGTAGAAGACCGTCTACGCCTCTGTCTTCACCAGGCCCACTGAGTAGCAGGTGAGGCCTTTTCTGGCTGCCCAGAGGGAGGACCTGGTTACCTGCTTCGGGCACACCACAAACGACAGGGAAAATGTGACCTCAGGATGAGAGAGGCTGACGCCCTTAATACCAACACCCAGATGCCATGCTGAGTGCCTGCCTCTGTTTCTACCTAACAAAACACGCGGCAGCCACAGCAATCAGCACGGGACCCACATGAGCACCCACTGCAGACTGATGATGATGACTGACAACGAGGATAGTGGTGGGAAACACCGCTGGGCCCCCACTGGGTGCTTTTTCATTCATTGTCTCATTTTTATTCTTCCAAAACCCCTCCTGTTTTACAGATGAGGAAACTGAGGCCCAGAAAGGATAAGGAACAAGCTCTACATCACACAGCAAGCAGGTGACTGAAGGTGGAATTGAACTGGGACTGGCTGACTCCTGAGCTACCACACAGCCTCTTCATTCCCTCAGCTGATAGGTGCCTCGACTGTTCCTGGGGCTGGGACCAGGGTGATAAAGGGCAAGGTCCTGACTCCCCTGGAGTTTACTAGTATGTTCTGATTGGCAGCAGGAGAGATAAATAATAAATCAATAATAAGTGAGTGCCCTGTGACTTTGCAATCATCGCTGGCTCCTCCTCGTAGCCTCCAGAGAGCACGTTTTTGTGGCTTGGAAGAGCTTCATTCTCTGAGATCCATTCTGTAGCCCTGGGCAGGGAGGAGAGATGGTGTGGGTGGAGCATGCATCCCAGAATCCTGTTTATTTTACTATAAGTCCCATGGTGCACTAGGCACTGGCCTCCCAACAACTCTATGAGGAAGTATTCTATCTTCACTTTGCAGATGCAACAACTGAGGCCCAGAGAGGTTAAGCAAGTTGCCAAAGGTCACACAGCTAGTAATGGTAGCCACGGCATTTGAACCCAGGCTGCCTGGCTCCAAGTCTGTGTTTAGTCACCAGGTCATGGAGAGCTTCTTGGAGCTTAGAGCCTTCTAGATCACCCATATCCGTGTCTTTCAGGCAGTTGAACCTCAGAGCCTTTCCCTTCGGTGCAGTCTCCGAGAGCCCCAACCCGCAAAACAGAAACAAGCAGTTCCGTGTGGGCTGAAACAAGACCCAGTCTGAAAGGAAGCAATCTGCCAACTTCCCAGCCCAACCAGGTCTCCAAGCAGATTCCTCCCCTCGTTCGGGGCACCCACAGAGGCCCTCTGTCCCTTGCACCATTGTCTCTCTAGGTGCCCGGGACACGGGTGCCAGCTTCCCACCCAGCTTTCAAAGGGACTTCCTCGTCTGGGGCTTTCTCCCAGGCACACCATCGCTGGACTGTTTCTGTGTTTCCTGGAGTTTGAACCTGAACACCAGTGTTTGTCCATCAGTCCTAGGTTGCCTAGCACTAGCTGCTGAACTTGGTTCAAGGTCGGTTTCTCTCCCAGCCAGCGGGAGAAGTACAGGCCGGGGGCTGTGCATGTCGGTCCGGGGAAGCCTGGAATTGCCCAACGTCCAGAGGGTCTGGCCAGGGCTTGGGGGTGGGGGATGGGCAGTCAGGCCCCTTCCGTTTGAGGAAATGGTCAGGGCAGTGGTGAGGCCTTCGAGTTTGGCATGGCGCCTAGACCACGTCACCTTCTTGGCTCCTTCCTGGTGGCAGGACCTCAGCCAACCTCTCTTGCCAGACTCCCCCGTTTTCTTAGCTGCCCTGCCATCTCCAGTGTGGCCATGACAGTGAGATGAACTCCTGAAGAGAAGCCGCATGGCCCCAGGCCTGGCACATGGTAAGGCTTCAGTCATTCATAGCTATTATTATTGTTGTGTTGCTGTTGTTTCTAAGCTCCCCTTCCACCCAAAACAAAAATCCACAGGCCTATGGACGTGCTCCGTGTGTTTCTGGAACCTCAGTTTTGCTCTGCTAGCAGCAGCCACAGCTCCCTGATAAGAAAATGGTCTTACCCAAGCAAATGTGCTCATGGCACAAACCCAGCACAACCTGAGCTCCTGACTCAGTTTCCTCACTGTCTAGAGAGGTGTCAGGACCCTCCCTAAGGCCTCCACTGCCCTATATGACCTAAGCCCCATTTATTCTCTGCCTTCATCTCCGAACACCCTTGGCCTTGCTCACCTGCTTCAGCCGTGCACACCTCCCTGCCGTCTCAGCACAGTCCTGCCTCAGGACCTTTGCACTGGCTGTCCCCCTGCAGTGGACCACTGGCACCCCAGGTATCTACATCGCTCGCTCCCTTATTTAAGCCTTTGCTTAAATGTCACCTTCACAACCGGGCCCACATGGATCACCCTATCTGAAATCGCAGCCTCCTCCCCCAGCCTCCTGACACCTCCCCCACTCTTCTATACCACAGTCTAGTTAACAGCATTATGTTTGTTATTCCACGTCTGTCTCCCCAGTTAGACTGTCAGCTCTGGGAGGACAGGGATCGTTGTGTGTTGCTGTCCATGTGCCCCAGATGCCCAGCACAGGTCTGGCAAATGAATAAAGAGAAGGCAGTGTGGAGGGAAGGGAGAGAACCCTGACACCCTCCACACACTTCACTCCCCCTTTCTGCATCCTGCTCCCAGCACAGGTAGCCCTGAGGCCCCGCCCAACCTGGGAGCATCATCAGGAGGCCTTGTTATCCTGAGTTTCCACAAAAAAAGGTGAATTATGCTACTTTCCCGTCCACCTACCTACCTTTCTGAGATGCCAAATCCTATAACTCATTTAACCCTGTGAGGCAGACACCCTTACCCATCGCCCTGCCCCCCTCAGACACACGTTTTTGGGGCCACTGGAATGAGACACTGAGAGGTAGAAGGAACACTTGGGAAACCTGCTGGGGAAGGGACCTCTAAGATCATTTCTCCCTCCTTGGCTAGACAGAGTTAGGGTTAAATGCTCATTACTAGACCTCCTGCCTTCTGAACCACAAATATGCTCTTTCTAAAACCATAATTTTAAAAAAAGTAATTGTTTATTACATGCCAAATCCTATGACCCTATGAGGTAGACACCACTCATTTCACCCTATGAGGTAGACACCACTAATCTCCCCATTTTACACGAGGAAACTGACACACAGAGAAATTAAGTATCTTGCCCAAGGTCACACAGCTAGTTAGTGCGAAGCCAGGATTAGAATCCAAACAGGCTCTTTCTAAAGTCTATGTGCTTGCCCTAGCCAGTGTGGCTCAGTGGATAGAGCATCAGCCTGTGGACTGAAGGGCCCCAGGTTCGATTCCGGTCAAGGGCACATGCCCGGATTGTGGGCTCGATCCCCAGAAGGAGGCGTGCAGGAGGCAGCCAATCAATGATTCTCTTTCATCATTGATGTTTCTATCTCTCTCTCCCTCTCCCTTCCTCTCTCAGAAATCAATACAAATATATATATTTTTAAAAAGTCTGTGTGCTTACCCATCATTCTACCCTTTTGCCAAAGAATTATAATCCCTGTTTTATAAATGACGGAGAGACTGAGACCCAGGGTTTTGCCGCTGTGTCAGCATCAGGATTTGAACCCAAGACAGGACTGCAACTAGAGGGCCCATTCTAATTCACTGCAGCTGCGGGCCCATTCCAGCTGTCTGCATGTGCACCTGAGCCAGCTCTTACCACCTGGAAACTTACTCACCTCACCAGAGAAAACAAAGGCCTGAGCCTAGGAACGGAAAAGCCGGCAGCGTGGACAAGCTTTGGAATCAGGGCTGAAGAGGGTCCCCTCCCCAACGCCCTGGAGTGACAAAAGGGGAAGCTGAGGAGGAGAAAGGAGAAGTGAACAGGGGACCGACTCATTTCTAAAACGCACATAGGTATTTCCCAGCATCGTAAGCAGGTTGAGAAAGCAGATACGAAGTCTTGTGTAGTCATTGGATGCAGGGGGGCAAAGGGTCCTTCTACCCCCAGAAGCGCTCTTGATGAACCCCTCCCTGGGACCTTCCCAGGAGCAATCAAGACGTTTGAGAGGTGCTTGTGTCACTGCTCAGATGTCCTTGCGTCTGTGCGTGAATGGGAGATCCCCCAGAACCTTGCTGGTGACGGCCCAAACTGGGGACAACACAAACAGCTATTAAGAAGAATCTGACAGCCCTAGCCGGTGTGGCTCAGTTGGTTGGGTGTCAACCCATGCACCAAAAGGTTGCTGGTTTGATTCCTGGTCCAGACACATGCCGGGGTTTGGGGCTCAGTTCTCTGGTGGGGGGCATGCAGGAGGCAGCCATTGATGTTTTGCTTCTCATTGGTGTTTATCTTCTCTTTCCCTCTCCTTTCCTCTCTCTAAAAATCAATACAAATATTTTTTTAAAAAAAGAAGAAGCTGACAAATACATCATGAAAAACCACTCAGTAATTTCCTCTGTTGCTTAAGGAGGAAGAAATAGGCCTGCATGTCCACTTAGGGAAAGCAGGCTATGAAATCCTCAAGGGCAAAGAGAATAAGAAGTACAAATTGCCAGTTATAAAAACTGTGCTGGGATAGAAAGCGAGGCATAGGGAATACAGTCGATAATACCGTAATAACTATGTGTGGTGCTAGGTGGGTACTAGCCTTATGGGAGTGATCACTTCATAAGCCAAATAAATGTCTAATCACTATGCTGTACACTTAAAACTAACATAATAGTCTATCTTGACCATCATTTAAAAATAAAAATTTCTTTAAAAGCACCAGTGAGCAATCAACATTGTGTGTTAACATCTACAGCAGTTGT